GTTCAAAACTCTACATGCAATAACTGGAGGCTTCTAAGTTGTACTTATGGATAGAAACTGAGTTTTCAGTGAAAGATGGCAAGACTTGTGGTATTTTCTATATTAATTATGGGATTCTATATATCAGTATTGGGAAGGTGAAGGTAATGGCTTTGGGGAACACTTAAAGAGTATTCAGCGGCTTAGGAGCCTTAGACGGTGTAGCTTTATGCTTGGGTTTCGTGTGATAAGCCTAGGTTGAGGAAATTGTGGTGCTATAGCAAGGAGGAATATCAAGTTGAAGATGAATCAGTAGGAATTTAGATAGATGGGGTATCTTGTTAGTAGACCAAATCGGTATGGTAAGGATATGATGAATTCCTTGTGTGTGTTTGAGGTAATGAGTTCCTACAGCTATTTTGAAACAATGCTCTTGGGCTTTGATGGCTTGCTTAGCTTGGTCTAGTTAGAAGGATTCAGTCCTGGCAGTTGAATTTGTGCAAATGGAATTGGGAGAGTTCTTATTGATTTCTACCGTGGTTGGAGAGGTGCAATTTCTCCGAGTGTGAGAAACATAGGATATGTAATGATTTTTCTTCTAGATAGGATCAATGGAAGTTCTTGGCTAGATGAGTTACAGTTCAATTCTGAAAGGAAGTTTATAAAACTCTTAGGCAGCGAGTAGCCTCAGATGATTAAGGAAATGGTACTGGTAATTGGAAAAGATTTGACGAGAGTCTATGTTTTAGTAAAAGGGCAATGTTATTAAGTTGATAGCACTTCGGTAGTATTGCGGCACCTTCTTTTTAGATCGACTGGTGATATTCGGGTTTGCTTGGTGGCACAGGGAAATTTTAAAGTATCTATAATGGAATGATTGGGTATTAGAGGTTGTGAGATGATATGATCTGTTGGTTATAGGCACCTATGGTGCGGTTCTATCGGAGTTTCATAATGGAAGTCGAGCGGGAAGAGTAATTTGGTGTTGCTCGGTGAACGGCATATCGGTCATGTCCTATCGGGTGTGCGTGGTGTATGTTATTTGCTTCACCGTGAGTATAATGAATTGCTTTGGTTCCAGATATCAAATTGTGTGTGGTTGTCGATTTCGAGTATAGTGACTTAAGGTGGTTCCATGTGGAGCAGTGTTTAAATAAGGTCGCGCATTGCAGTGAATATATGTGGAGGTATGACCTTGCAGGTTAGATTCGTGTGTTCTGTTCCTATGATGTGAGACGGGTTCTCAGTCTTGTGTTGTGGTGGTACTAGTGAACTTGAGGTTCAACTCTTTCATTTGAGTTATTTTCATGATTTGAGTATGTTCGAATTGTTGCGTATTGATGCGTGTATTATGCAAGTTGTGGCTTAGGTTTGTATGGATGTGTCATGTCACCAGAGTAATGTGTTGGAGAGGAGATCGTTGGGGATCATTAATAAATACAAACGGATTCGATTTCAGCATGTTTGATGGGTAAATATCGAGGTTCGATTCAGAAATTTGCTATGGTCCTTGCCAAAGAAGAAGTAACCTTATGGATGACTGATCTGAGAGATGGTTATGATTTATTGCGTGTTTCATTTATTATTGGCAGTATATGGAAGTGTTGGAATGAGACTTTAGTTGGTAAGAGGTTTCTACCGGTATTCGGGTGTTGTGTGCAGCTGTTGCGAATGGAAGTTATCGCTACATGTGTTTGAGTTACGTGGTATATCGGATAACTTCACTTGAGGTTGTAGGCATGGGTTATTACAGCTAGTTTGGGTCTATTCAAAGTATAGGTGTGAGGTTCTGATCGTATTGAGGATTTTAGAAGCAGAAATGTGGTTCTATGGTTTATGGACTAGGATGGATTGTGAAATTTCAGTTATATTGTGTTATCGAACCTATATGAGGTAGGGTAACGTGGGATCACCCCCGGGTATATGCATGGTAAAGTTATTCAGCAATTGGTTGGCTTTTGGAACAACTCTGGGCACGTTCGAGGACGAACATGTGTTTAAGTGGGGGAGGATGTGACCCGACCGGTCGTTTTGAACTTTTGCACTTTGATCGCCAGTTCCCGGGCATGACTTGACCCGTGTAACGTATTATGACTGATGTAGATCGTTGGTTTTGGTTTTCAGGAAAAATCGGAATGAATTTGAAGGAACAGTCTCAGTTAAAAGCTTTGAATTTGAAAGGTTTGACTAAGAGTTGACTTATTTGTATATGAGCTCGGATCGGAAATTTTATGATTTGTATAGTTTCGTTGGGTGATTTATGACTTAGGAGCGCGATCGAAATGCATTTTAGAAGTCCGTGGAAGGATTTGGCTTGAATTGGTAAAGTTAATATTTTGGCGAATTCCGGTTGATAGGTGAGATTTTGATCCGAGGGTCGGAATGGAATTCCGAGAGTTTCTATAGCTTCGTTATGTCATTTTTGATGTGTGTGCAAAATTTCAGGTCATTTGGATGTCGTTTGGTCGACTTTTTGATTGAATTCGGATTTCGGAAGTTTTGGAATTCTTAGGCTTGAATCTGAGGGTGATTTGATGTTTTGATGTTGTTTTGAGCGTTCTGAAGGTTGGCACAAGCTTGAATTATGTTATGGGGTGTTTTGGCATGTTTGGTCGGGGTCCCATGAGTCTCGGATAAGTTTTGGAAGAGTTTTTGGAAGATTTTGCCGTTTTGAGCATAAGCATGTAATGATCCAAAGATCCATTTTTAGTTCTAGAGATCGAAATTTGATTTCGAGACTTNATCCAAAGATCCATTTTTAGTTCTAGAGATCGAAATTTAATTTCGAGGCTTCTGGAATTTTGATAATGAATTATAGGACTGATCTGGAAAGTTTGGTCTAATTTAATCAAGTTGCGATTGGGTTTTTGACATGAAACATGAGTTAATTGTTTAACGAGCGAAATGGGTATTAAACTGAGCAAATGAGCTCTGAATTGAGTTTCGACTGAAAGACTATGTTCGTATTATTATTTGTGACTCATAGGAACAAGAATCATCGAATTCCGAGTTTGTATAATGGAGTTAGAGCCTTTTTTGTGAAAAGAAAAGCTGCTGCAATTTTCTGGGCAGTTTCTGCATTTTTCGCACGTGTGAACAGTGACCGCACCTGCGTGAACAGTACCATGTATAGTACCCCTTAAACAGTACCGTGTATAGTACCCTCGTGTACAATACCCCGTGAACAGTACCCCGTGAACAGTACCCTCATGAACAGTCGTGAACAGTACCGGACAGAATGTTAAGTTCTGGAAAATGGGACGAATCCCATTTTCCATTTTTACCAAATTGGAGCTAGGGGAGAGGCGATTTTCGGGAGATTTTTAGAGAAAACAACGGGGTAAGTATTCTTAACTTAATTTTGGTTAGATTACCCGAATCTATTACTAGTTTTGGCATATAATTAGTGATTTTAGTTGGGAAAATCTTGAAAACCCTCTTGGTTTAATTTGAAGATTTGAGGGTCGAGTTGATGTCGGATTTTAGTAAAATTGGTATAATTTTTATTGACGGAATCTCATATGTAATTAATTCCTATAATTTTTATTAACAGAATCGAATTATTGTGGCTAGATTTGAGGTATTCGGAGGTCGATTTGAGAGACAAAGGCATCACGAGCTAGAGGCTTAGCCGGTACGAGGTAAGTAATGATTGTAAATACTGTCCTGAGGGTTTGAAACCCAGATTATACGTCGTTGTGTTACTTTGAGGTGACTTGCACGCTGGATGACGAGCGTGGGGTAGAGCACCGCTGGGGATTGTGACCTAGTCCATCCCGAACGAATATTTTAATGCGTATTTGATAGTTAATTGTTTGACATTATTATATTTTTGGGTTGTATGCCATGTTTGGGGCCTTGTGCCGATTTGTTGAGACACTTAAGGGCATTTTTACTATTTTTCCTCACTCTATTTGTTTGAAAGCATATTTTCAGTCATATTTTACCTGTTTATTGCTCAAATCTGGCTTTATCACTATATTCTTAACATGTGAAAATTGTTTTGGGCTGAGTTCCCTGTTTTACTGAGATAGACCGAGGGTCTAATTATGAGATTGATGACTGAGTTAGACTGAGAGTCTGATGGTGAGGTTAATCACTGAGAGAGGCCGAGGGCCTAGTTATGAGGATTATATATCTATGGATCGGGCTGCACGCCGCAACAATACTTATATGGATCGGGCTGCGCGCCGCAGCAATATAGCGCTTGGGCTGTAGGAGCCCCTTCGGAGTCTGCACACCCCCAATGAGCGCAGTCGACTATTTATATGGATCGGGTTGTGCGCTACATCGATGAATGGATCGGGCTGCACGCCGTAGCAGTTACTTTGATTTCAGTTATTGTGAGAGATATATGAATCGGGCTGCACGCTGCAGCGGTTACTATATGATACCAATTGAGCGTGAATGCTGAGTGCGAGTACTGATTGGTAAGAGTTGAGTCACGAGTGACAGAGAGGCTATCCCGAGGGGCGATAGATATATGCATGCATATGAGTGGTGTTTTGCCTGAGAGGCCTGTTTATGGACTTATTAATTTCACTCCTCTTAAAATGAGTTTCTATCGAATATGTTGATTTATTGACTGTTTTCACTCATCTTTATATTGAGCCTCTGTCGGAAAGTTGCACAAATGTTTTAAAACAATTTTTATTTAAACTGGGGTTTATGAGATGTTCAGAAATTAATCACTGATTTGACATTGGTTATTTCCACTAAGATTTTCAAGTTATGAAGTGTTTGTGATTACTGTTTTGCCCGAGGGGCTATTTTTCGAACTATGCTTTGCCCGAGGGGCCAATTATGACTTTAATCTCTATTATTATTTTAAATGGTATTGAACCCCTACTGAAACTGTTGGAAGGTATTTCAAAGATGATTTTTACTAAAAGCTGGATTTTAAAAGGGAAGATTGACCTGTATTATAATTTGAAAGTCTGTTGTGTTTACTGAACCCAGCGTAAATGTGGATTCATTGTTTCCTACTGCTCAGCCTTTATTTACTCTTATTACTNGCTTCTGCTCTCCAGTTTTTGTTCTCTCTCTTGTGAGTTTTGTGTAATATGTGATTCCTATAAATGCCTCTCACCATTACCATACAGTTGTAGAGTGATGCACATATGGTGTTGATAAGGAAATCTTTTGCGAGGCATTATTTGGTTCTTAAACTCTTCATTATTTCAACGTATTTCATGCATTGCAACAGACATGGGGTGGTCTTCTGTTTTGAAACCATGACAAGCTTGAACCAATGACCTGATCGAGAAAAAAATCATTGGCGGATTTGAGAGGAGTTGACTCGATGAGCAGGAAAACTACTATCAATTGATAGGAATCATCATGCATCATCAATAAACCATGGTAAACATCAAAATATGCATATCTCATGATGCACTATGCTATTCTGGAAAAGGTCTATTATTGAGCTCAATTCATGATTAATACACATAGGAGTTCATTCTTCTGAATGTGGCAATGATGCTGGTCATGGCTATTTAACTGATGCACAAAGCGTTACAATTTTTTTTTGAAGTTATTGTAGCTGCATAGAGTGAATATGATATCAAAGTCATTTGTTTCAGGGGTTGGGCACTTGGGCATGTCACACAACAAAATGATGAAGGAATTTGCATTGGAGGTTTGAGAAGAATGCAAGTCGATATTATTTTTACTTTCTTTTTTCCTGGTATTTGTTTCTTCTTTTCATTTTTGTTTTGGTACTGCTTAATGTTGTGTGGAGTATTTTGCAATTATGAACAAACTATTCCTTTCTTCAAAGTTATGTGAAATATGTCTTGAATCATCAGATCCACACTCCAAAGAAGAAAGTGAAGAAGGAAAAAGAAAATTTGCTAACTTGCTAAACCATATATAATGACGCATTGTAAACTTATGTTATGTTCTTTTCTATGTGTCTATGTGATCTTTGGTGACATTTAGGGAAAACATGATTACTATAAGAGCACAAACCAACTCATATGTTGTTGGTTAGTCTTATTGAGCAAGAAATTCATTTATACCTATTTGTACTCTCAAGTTGTACTCCACATTCTTTAGTATAATCATGTTTATTAGATGTGGTTATATTTTTCACCATACATTTGTGTTTATATATCTATCAGTTTCTTGCTTGGAATTAAAGTTTAGTTGATGTTATAGTATAAAAGTATAAGGAGATTTAAGAAATCATGCTCAATATATAGAGTAGTAAATAGTTACAACAATATTATGGTTCAACTTTCTGTACTACATAATTAAGTGATTGGCTTAACGAGTTTTGTCAAAGGCGAAAAGCTCTAAAAAGCGTTCCATGCGTATTGGGGCTTTAAGCGTAAAACGCAATTGAATAGTGGGTTTTAGTAACAAAAAAGTGGAATAAAGGAAAAAAATAAAAATATATATGTAATTTAGGGAAAAAGTAAGTGTTTTCCTTAATAACTAATACACTTATTTGCCAATTATATTTGTTGTTTAGTACCGGTCCATTCAAAATAGAATTCATGGGCAATGAGTGTTCACACCTTAGTGCTTTGCATACACTAAAGCACAACTTAAGCGAGGGAAAGCACCCTCCGTGAGCTTTTTTGAGCTTCAGGGCTTAAGCGTGCCCCTTTGACAACACCGGGCTTAACCACAACATCTTGGTAGTAAATTGAATTTAGAGTTTATTTGTACCGCAGAGTTATGCGATTTCATGTGTTTTATCTACCTTTTGGATAATTAGTGTTAGAATATTATTATTAATCTTTATATTATGTGATGTATGAATTTATGTTCATGTTGTGGTATCGTGTCAATTGTCAATAGCTTCTCCTAAAATGCGAAGTCTACCTTTTGATCTATATAATGAATGGCCTCCATCTTCTGTTGGAAGGTAATATCCCTATTTCTAGGCAATAACTCTTATTTCATTGCTAAAATATGCATTTTTGGTAGTTAAGTGTTGATGATAATAGTGAAGATATATTAATGAGATGACTCATTAATACCTGTGGAACCTGATTGTATTTGATGGTCATAATTGAATACTCATGCAAAGTTCATGCTACTTCTTAACAGACAAGCAGTTGATCAGATGTGCTTAATCCACCGATTTATTGTTTGAGAAATTTGAGAAGCCTAAAATATCAGGTATAGTTCTACTGAGACAGTTCTACTTATCGTTTTATCATTGTGGGTGGTTGGCATGGACATACTTGATGATGTTCTGTTCCCTTGCATGTAACAGGTTGGTAATTTGAAGGCAACCGATTCTTTATATTTTCTCCCTTGATTGAAACTGTTTAAAAGGTAATTAAATTTTTTTACAATATTATTCCTTGCTGAGGAGAAGTTCATATAGTACTTTTCACAACAAAGATACTTACTTTGAACAAAAAATAGTTCGTATAATAGTACTTTTCGCAATAAAGACTGTTCTTTTGAAAAAAAATTTCTTAGTTTCACTACAAAATACAAAACATTTTTTTCCATAGTTCAAAACCTTAAGGTTTAAAAATATATTAAAGATTTGATTATATAACATTCTTCACGTGAAGTATAACATAACTTTGTATCTTAAAATCTATGTTTACTTTATCAGGAGAAAGAAAATATAAAATCATTGAGTGTGCTCTACATTTTGATCAAGGTGCAATTACCTAGTGTTTTGGATAGCGTGCGGCAACAAATAGCGACGAGGGCCCGCTCTACTGAGGCGAGAGGCACGCAGCGAAACACTCGCCTTTTTTATGTGAAGCGACAATTTACACAAAAAAATAAAATATTATATATGTAACTAAAAACTCAATAACAATGATATATTAATAATATATCAATTCACAATATGCAGTTAATTCTACTCTATAACTGAAAAAGGAGGAAATTTCAGGTTTAAAGTTTTGAAGAAGTTCTCTGCCTCTGCCTCTACAAAAACAGGGTGCAGTACTGTTGCTCAATAAAAAACAGAGCAACAAAAAAAGAAGAAGAAGAGAAGACCAGAAGAAGAAAGAAAAAAAACAGAGAATAAAAAGACTCTCTGTCCTTTTTTTTTGCTGCACTGTTGCTCGACAACAAACAGAGCAAAAAATTAGAAAGATGAAGAGAAGATCAGAAGAAAAGAAAAATGAAAAAAAAACAGAGCAATAGACAACTCTGTTCTGCACTGTTGCTCGGCAAAAAACATAGCAAAAAATAGAAAGAAGAAGAGAAGAAGAAGGAAAAAGAAGAAAGAAAGAGAGGAGAAAGAAGAAGAGAAGCTTACCTGGGCTGGGTGGACTTGTGTGCTATGTTGTTTGAAGGTTGAAGAAGAAAGAAACGTGAAATCACTGCAAGCCCTAATATTTTAAGCCCTAATCTGCGCCTTTTTCGTTCTTTTTTTTTTCTTCAAAAAGCGACGCCACAGCTTGCCTCTCGCTACACAAGCAAAGGCGCTCGCCTTTTACAATTGCAATGCAACAGAGGCAAAATAACGCAGGCTGCTCGCATCGCCTCGCCTCACGCTATTAGCGCTGAGGCGAGCGCTATTTATAACACTGCAATTACCATAGCCCTTTGTTAGTTTTTTTGTCAATAAAAAGATTTCATGTCTTTTATTCATTACTCTATCCCTTTATACATCGTATCTGTTAGAACACTGAAGTATTTACATGAATGTACTCCTTTTTTATATGATATCCTGGATACTCTTGGAAAATTAATGGAAGTGTGGTTACTAGATGTATAATAGTTGGATAAAAAAAAATACATAAACAATAACAATTGAATTTTCTTCATGAGAATTTATTAGCTAATTCTAATAATCTCAGGTACATTTAAGCTTATAATATGGTATTAATGTGATTAGGTTATTATTATTGAACCATGCACTTTACGCATCAATCCAGGTAAAAAATGATGCTCGCTTTGCACTTGAAATATGTTAGCAAGCTGTGACGCTCAGGATTATTATGATAAGAAGTTGCTATTTCTTCCCCAGATCTATCATCAGGTAACTGAGCCTCAAAATTTCAGATGTTAGTAGCAAGAAAAGAAGATACTTTCAAAGACTGATGACATATTAATGCGACAATAAATATGTGTCATAGATAAAGTGCTGTACATATTTTTCTAATTCTTATGAGGCATTTCTTAAACTTTGGATACATGATTCAACAATAAATGAACTCCATATTCAAGTTTCAAAAGAGTGCAAATGAGGATATTGCAACTTCTTTAAAATGAAATGGAAACACTTAGCAACAAGAGTAATGCCTTGTGAGATCCATCAATTTGTCATCCTTTTTTCACCCCCTTGACAACTATTTCCTATAATTCATGGCTATTTCTCTTATGCAAAAAGAATTTGAGACTTGTTCCTTACATATGATAAAGTTTTATGGTTTGTCACTTCTAGTCTGTTGGGACAAATGTTGTACCATGTTATTATTTATAAGTGATTCAGAGTTGTCAATATCCTTCTAGCGTTTTCCTGGTTATTGTCGTAAGATAATTTTTTTTCCTCTACCCATGCTTGATTCCTCTCTGTTTCCAAATACTTTTGGTCTCAACAAAAAAGGACCTCTTGCCGTGCACACTCCTAAAATCTTCTGCTGATGGCAAGTAAGTTGATTCTAGCAGTAATATGCCTTTGAAGATGGATGCATCAATCACTTATAAAATATTATCCGATATAGGGTTTTTTAAACTAAATTGTTTGTGCACTAAATAGACTGAAGCAAATTAGATTGATTAATTCTGTAAATCTTTAGATTAAGATGGACTCTAAAACTTTATTGCAAAAACTAGAAATAGAAGAATACTGAAAAGTTCAATGTGTTGGGGCACTTCCAACTCTTTGATGAAAGTAAATGCGCTTTAACTGCTTGGGAAAGTGCATTGCCGTGTGTTGCATGATGTTTTACAGTTCAATCCTTTTCGAGTTTGCCCTCTACATAGGGAGAATAGGAAAAAAATGATTCATGACTTCAATTTTGGTTGTCCTACTATTATTTATTTATTTGCTAAATCTGATTTAGTGATGCTATGGAAGAAGTCTAACATATTTTATGACTTGAAGTACTTTTCGTGAATGAACTTAACTATTTTGTTGTAGACATAACTCTTTACTGGATTGACTTAGTTTGTTTCCAGTTTTGGTAACAACCAACATATTACATATATGCAGAGGTTTCATGCCATTACAAAGTCGATTTTCGTGCAAGAGTTTCTGCAGTTATAGACAAGAGGGGTTGCTCTGATGGTAAGCAACCTCCACTTCCAACCAAGAGGTTGTGAGTTCGAGTCTCCCCAAGAGCAAGGTGGGAAGTTCTTGGAGGGAAGGATGCGGGGGGTCTATTTGGAAACAGCCTCTCTACCCCAGGGTAGGGGTAAGGTCTGCGTACACACTACCCTTCCTAGACCCCACTAAGTGGGATTATATTGGGTTATTGTTGTTGTAGTTTCTGCAGTTATATTAAGTAGATCTTTTAGAAAGAATCTAGGTTCTCTAAGCTATTATGTAAAACGTTCTCTATTAGTTTTTTTTTCTCAATTATTTTCTGCATCCGCACATTTTTGATTTTATTTTACAACTTCTATTTGTTTTCTTTGGAGAGTTTGGGTAATATGAATTTCATGCATAGACGATGTTATTTTAAATTGGTTTACCTCTTCAGATAAAATATTTGAATTAAAGCATAACTTAATCGTTTGCAGGTTGATTACATCAGATTTAGAATATTCTGAAGATGCAGTTGGAATCCAAGTGGAGTAAGTGTAACCAAAGCATGTCAAATGCCTTGATAGCTGTTGCTTCAACATTTGCTGACCGATTAGCACAACTGTAGAAGACTAATCTTTACTAGCGATCTTAGAACCTTAAAGTGTCTACACTCAGAAGTTACATCGCCCGATCACTCTTAAAGATCTACTTATTGCTAGCATTCCAGTGTACAGAGATTGAAGAGTTGCAGAATAAAATTATTGAATTATTTCAAGCTCTCTTTTTTGAAGAGAGAGGATAATTAACATATCATTTGTAGCAGACATATAATGTACCACACGTAAATGTCGATATCACATTAATTTAAATATTTCTGTAGATGCAGTGCCATTATTTCGCTAGACTGGACTTCAAAATTTTCAAACAAGCCACTCTGAGTTGCATATCCGAGGTATCAAGTATCAATTTTTCACATGGCAGTCATATTTTCATTGCTCCGCTTGAGCTGTTAATACTGAGTTGAAAGTTTAATGTATAAATAAAATATCAATATTGAACTGAGATATCGGGCATAGCCCGTGCTATGCACGGGCACGACCCGTCTAGTATTATATATATATTTTTTTTACTATATAGAAGAGCGAGAGAAGCATGAGAGGGTCGTCATGCTTGCTTGCTTTTCAAGGGCAATTTAGTCATTTTATGAATAGTCTATTATGTCCTTAAGATTGTTAACTCAGTCGTCTCAGAATAGGATTATATAGTAATTTCGACCAGCCAACCTGACATCACCGATTTTCTATGAAATAAATGGGACCCAATTAAATTCATTAAATCACACAGCTTTTTGAAAACTATTACTGTATCAATTCCCTGACCATGTGGGCACCACGGTACTTTCCATTTCAATTGCTAAGCTGTCAACTTTTTGCTTTTCTAATGTTAAGGTTGTTCGAGGATTTGTTAAATCCAAATATTCAATAAGGAAATGCACATATTAATTATCTTAAACATAAAGTTTAGAAATGTAAATATTATGTATAAACTCCAATACATATATTTTAAAACAGGATCAGAAGTGCTAAAAGTTTTTCCAGATATAGGACATTTCAACACATAGATTTTTAAAATCTTTGACAAAATATTTTGCATAGGACGTAAAAATATGTTCCTAGCAATAAGTTTTTAATATATTTGCATTTCTTTTAATTGTTTTTATATTTTTAATGAACATTTTTCCAAAAAAAGAACTTCCGAAAGAAAAAGGAAACAAGATCTTGAATAGTTGATACATTAACACACTTAACATTAAAATAATATATAGTAAAGCACATGAGTACTAATTTGTGATTTATTTACTTAAATCAAGTTGGAATTTCCTTTCGTGTGCTCCATTTATCTCATTTAATTCGAATTCGAATTAATTAAAAGAGAGGTTCAGTCAATGCAAATGAGTAATTGTCATGTTTGACACTTTTCAGATCTTTGGTAGACTCTTTAGGAATTTTGAACAGAGAAATTTATTTGTCCCAAATTTTGGGAAAGTTTTATATAGCATATATACCAGAAAGTCTCATTTTCTATTAAAAAGTAATACCTCTTTAAACGATCATATTATCCTGACTCGCTATGCTGGGGTATTTTTGTGACGACCCGGCAAGTCGTCTCATGAGTTACCGATTTGTTTTTCTCTATTTCTGCTTCTTTATGCTTTGTTTATCCATGTTATATGGTATCGGGTTGGTCGGATCGAATCCGAAATGATTTTGGTAAGGTTTGAGACACTTAGTCTCTTTTGAGGAAGCTTGAGTTGGAAAAATCAACCAGATGTTGACTTATGTGTTAGAGGGATCGAATGTGAGTTTCGATAGTTCGGTTAGCTTCGGAGGTAATTTGGGACTTAGGAGCGTGATCAGAATGAGTTTTGGAGGTTCGGAGTAGATTTAGGCTTGAATTGGCGAAGTTGATATTTTGGTGATTTTCGGTTGGTAGGAAGATTTTGATATAGGGGTCAAAATGGAATTCCGAGAGTTGCAGTAGTTCTGTTGTGTCATTTGGGATGCGTGTACAAAATTTCAGGTCATTCAGACGTGGTTTGATTTGGTTTTTGATCAAAAGTGGAATTCGGAAGATTTTAGAAACTTAGGCTTGAATCCGATGTGTTTTGGTTGATTCGATGTTGTTTGAGGTGTTTTAAAGATTATTACAAGTTTTAATAAGGTTTTGGGATATATTGGTGCCTTTGGTTCAGGTCTCGGGGGCCTCGGGTGAGTTTCAGATGGTCAATCGGACCATTTCATGAAGTTTGGAGTTGCAGATTTGTAGGTTCAGCTGTTACAGAGATTTCCTCTTTGCGATCGCGTAGAGGCTTTTGAGGGGCAGTCCAGTTTGGTCTTCATGATCGCGAAGGAGGAGTTGCGATCGCATAAGGTGGGGAAGTTGTTGATCGCGAACGCGGGGAGTTGGTCGCGTTCACATAGAGTTGAGTGGACCAGGGGTCTTGGAGGGAAGTTGTTCATTGTGAACGCGTTAGCCAGTCCGCGATCGCATAGTGTTGGGAGCTTGATCATCGCGTTCGCATAGGGTAAATTTTGGGAGCTGAGGATTTGTGCTTCACGATCGCGAAGGATGTCCCGCGATCGCGATGGAGGAAATTAGGCTTGGGCAGAAAGTTTAAAAGGTCGTCTTGTCCACGAATATGAGGTTAATTTCTCCCATTGTTGATAGTTTTTGGAGCTTTTTGAAGGGGATTGAAGAGGGATTCAAGAGGAATCACTTGAGCTAAGATTCTTGGACTTAAAACTCGATTCTAATGTGAATTCCACCTAGTATTATTTAGAAATGGGAGTTGACAAGGACGAACATGGGAGTTGAGAAGGACGAACAATGGCAAACCTGTAATTTCAATATTTATTTGGGGCAGATTAGTAACTACAATTACACCTATCCCTTATATACGTTTTCTTCGTTCATATCAATGGATTCTAGAATCCACTCCACAGCTCTATACTCCAGAGCTCATACAGACATCACTTTGTTTCCATTGCTTCTCTGCTTCTGGGTTTCTTAACTGGTCATCATTTTCATATTTCTCTGCTTTGGTTCGATTTTGTCTTGTGTGGTTGTATTTCTGAGTTGTGGTAAGGTTTTTCCTTTTTTTCTTTATTATTTATCGCACTTGCCCTATTCCCTGCTTGTCAACTAGAATAGAACTATATTAAAGAAAAGTTTTTTTCTTGTGTGTGCTTGGAGTATATGCATTTATATACCTCTTTGGCTCTTCTTTCTTTGCTTGGCTTTCTTCAATTCAACCAGACCATATTTTTCTTAATTAATGCTTGCCGGTTTTATTGTTTTTCATGTTTCATACTTCTGTTACTTTTGGGTTTCTAATTTTCTTTATGTATGCCTTTCCCAGTTTGATTTTTGGTGGTTCCGGCAGCCTAGGCATTTCTGGGTGATTGTGATTGGCTCTTTTTCAGGTACATAATTATGATGGTTTTCTCCTTCTTCTTCCTTGGTTGTTTTCCATTTTCCTCTTTTCCCTCTTTTTAGTTCGTTTTCTGTTAAGACTACTTTGTAATTCTCGAGTGTTCCATATAATTAAATTCTTTTACTTTATATTTTAATTAAGGATTTTGAGATTTTAACCTAAAATTTATAATTGGGGGGTTTATAGAATTCAATCGATCTCCAAATGCACATAGTGATTTTGGAGTTCAAAGGGAAACAATGGGCGAAGACTATAATAAAGATGTTTGATAGTGCTATGAGCGGCTCATACAGATATTAGAGAGTTAAGTAATTGAATTTGAGAAAGCTATAAGAATTTCTGTGGAAGCTTTTGTCTTTCGTATCGATGGTGATGATATTTCATTTATTGGGATTTCAATATTAGTTGTTGCTAATTCTCCTCTTTTTCTTTTTGTTGACTGCTATCAGGTTACATTTTGTTTGAACGGTAAGTGGTGATCAAATCTTACACTTTTTCATTTTCGACATTCTTAGTATATCACAATTGTGACGCCGAGCTTCATTGAAAATATTTGTCTCATTTGTTGTATCTCAATGGTTTTCTCTGTTGCTATAGTTCTTCTATGTGCTTTTATTTTTGGGTGCATGTTGGTTCTCTGCCTTTTTTCTAGACAATTCCACTTATGAATTTTTTCTTCACAGTTTATAATAATGATCTGGCTGTGGTATGAGTTTTCAATTAAGTAGACAATTGATTGTTCCTTCTAACTTGGCATGCATGTCCCTTCTACTTGATTTTCCTAGAGTTAAATGGTTGAATTCTTTGTTACCTGGGAGAGAGAAAGTGAAATAAGTTTATGTTGAGAAGAGTTGTTTTGTAGTTTCTGAGTATTGAGAATAGTTTTTTTATAAGGTAAATTGTATTAATTAAAAGGGAGAAAAAACTCCCGTATACAAGAAGTATACCAAAAAGTAGAGAACAGTATTGAGAGTAGTTTTACGAAGTAACTGGTTTACTCTTGAACTTAAAAGAAAATGCAGAAATTCATTTGATCTCAAATATTTCAAATGCACTAGATACCTTGCTGAAATGCTGAATGATTATGCTACTAAGTTATGTTTGAAGGACAGTAAAGTTAAAAAAGGAAGTAAAGCTCTAATGGTGAAATGATAGGACTGGGATAGAATTTGTTGCTGGTGTAGAATTTGGAAAGTTGGAAAGATTTGTTGCTGGTGTAGAATTTGCTGCTACTGCGCTCTGCATGCCTACGGACACTGAGTGATATTTTTTTAAATATTTTTGTTGTTGTTGCTTCCTGATTTTGTTTTGAAAGTATAGTAAGTTGAAATTCATTAGGTTAGATCTGTATATGTACAATTAAATTACTGAGGGAAGTGAGTTGAGCTTCTAAGCGAGATGGGTAAGTGGACGATGTTCATTGATCTAAGGAACAACCAATGTTTGGAAGATGCTGCTACGTGCAATACACGTACTAGAATGCAATGTCTGCACCTGTTAGCTTTCTGGACTAACTTACAAGATGTATGCAACTTAGACTACGCTTTGTGTTATGAGTTCATTATACCATTCAGGAATTCTAGGACTCATTGTTGTTTCCCCATCTTTTGTAACCTTTTTGATCCAAAATATGTGCATACCAGCACCTATTTGATGTTAATTAATAGTTCTTGATTTCTTATTAAAAAAAAATAAGTTTTTGAGTTTACTATTGTAGTGTTGGGCCCGTATACCCGTTTTTGTGTCACATTTTAACTTGTGTCTGCTTTGCAAAAAAAATTGCAAGCGTACCCGCTTTTTCGCATAACTTCAGCATACGGGGCTGAAGTAGCAAAGACAATCACGCAAAACTTCAGCATCATTTTAGTAGACGGCCCTGAAGTAGCAAGTGTGCTGAAGTTTTTGTTTTTGTAACTGACGAACTTCATGTTACATCCTGCAATATTACGTCAATATTATGTCCCGCAGTATTATATTACGACAATGTTATGTTATGTGGTAATAAGTTACGACGGTGTTGCACCCTACAATATTTTACATTGAATTTGTTGTAAGATAATTGACATCAATCCAAGGAAAAGATTATTTGGGAATTATAAGGATTATACTATTTTACAAGTGATTAGTAAATTCATGAAGGTGAAACGGGGAGCAAGTCTAAGAAAACAAATTTTGTCAAAGTTTGGTATTTTGGAATAAAATACGGCCCGAGTTAAAATACCCGATATTTATGAACTAGTACCATACAAGGTACTACATGGCCATGCTACTAAGGTGTACAAGGTATGTTAAAAGAGAGTAATCTTTTAAGTAAGTGGGAATAATTTTCAAATTTTGCGGGTAATTGATTAACTACCGGGTAACGAGACATTATCTAATTAATTAGTATTAAGTGGATAAATATCCTTTTTGGGCTGCCGTTTGGCACTAATGTAAGCCAAAGTGGAAACAAAATCTTGATGAGTCATTAGGCATGAGATTCCCTATCTACACGTACAAATCTTGAAAATTGAAAAGCAAGACAAAATCATTTTCTTTGGTCTCTTTATCAATTTGCTTTTGACTTTAGATGCCAAGAATAATTAAAAAGCAGAAGCATTTCCATTTTCAAACAAAAGCTTCAATTGAAGCAATTTTCGTCCAAATTTTTAGAAAAATCAGGCCAATTTCGTTCCACAAGTTTGAAAACGCAGAAGCCTAAATCTAATTTTTGGGTCTAAGTTCACTCCACAAAGGTTTCCAACGGGATAAATATACGGAATTGTTCCTACTCCAAGTATGTTAAGGCTATGTCCTTTCTTCATTCTGGCATGATCTGTACGATACAAACTAAACGAGCAACATAGTCCATTTCCATCCGTACTGCATTTTTAATAAAGGTTATCTACTTGCACATATGAAGACATTGGCTTTGAAATTTATTCTGTTCGTTTTCTCTTGGAGTTCCACTATGTCTTATGGCCTTTGGTACATGATTTGTTGTAAGAGATTTCCATTGCATCTATTATGCTTGTCTCATGGACATAGTTTAATAGCAATTTGTGTGGTCCAATCTATTTAGGATCACAACTTAGCCATGACAATGATCAGATACTAAGGTATCTAATATATTTTTGAAGATTTAGGTCATTAACTTATGCTTCATCGTCTATTATCTCCTACTACTATTCATTTCCTTATTTTGCACAACTCCGATTGTACATAACGTAATGAACGAGCTCCCAAAGATACTCTACTCTTAGAAGCTAACAGTACTTACATTGTTTCCCTTCTTATGGAGCGATTAATGTTGATGTTGCTTCTCTTATCCTTATGTTATCAATGTTGTTGGTACTTCTGATTCTTATAAGATTCTTGATCAAGAGTTATTCATAATAATGTGTACGGAAAATATCGACCTTACGTCACTCCGGAAGGTTCAGAATATATATGTATATATTTTACTCTACCGAGCCGCGCTATAATCGGCCGGGTACGGCACCTATTGTGCAACCACTGATCAGTTGGATTTACCAAGCTCCACGTGGCCGGGTATGATTTTACCGAGCCTTTTGATGGCCGGGTACGTTTTTACCGAGTCCTCTTTGAGGCCGGGTACGATATGATGATGATGACGCCCATAGAGGCGAATGTTTTAAAAAAAAGTTTATGTATATATATGTATTATGCATTTCATATCAGTAGCCCCCAGAGGCACTCAAATGTTACATGTTGTATCTCATCTGTCTCTTTTTACATTACTGTTCTTGTTTATGCTTCTATGCCTCACATACTTGGTACATTATTCGTACTGACGTCCCTTTTGCCTGGGGACGCTGCGTTTCATGCCCGCAGGTCCTGATAGACAGATCGAGAGCCCTCCAAGTACTCTATCAACTCAACGGAAGATGTTGGTGCGCTCCATTTGCTTCGGAGTTGCTCGTCTGGTTAGTATTATTTAGACGTGTATTGTTTAGTGTGGCGGGATTCTGTCCCGACCCTTATGGCATTTATGTATTCTTAGAGGCTTGTAGACATATGTCGTGTACGTGAAAGATTGTATGGCCTTGTCGGCCTATGTCTTGAGTTTATAAATGATTATGTTGGCCTATTAGGATTGTATTTCACGTGTATATGATGATGTGATAAGAAAGATACGTTACGTTGGTGCTTGGTTGAGTAAGGTATCGGGTGCCCGTCGCGGCCCATCGATTTGGGTCGTGACACTTCAGCTCTAGCTGAAGTTTTTGTTTTGTAACTGGCGAATTTCAGCTCTAGAGCTGAAGTTTTTGTTTTGTAATTGACGAAAGCTGAAGTTTTTGTTTTGTAACTGGCGAATTTCAGCTCTAGAGCTGAAGTTTTTGTTTTGTAATTGACGAAAGCTGAAGTTTTTGTTTTGTAACTGACGAATTTCAGCTCTAGAGCTGAAATTTTTGTTTGTAACTGGCGAACTTCAGCTCTAGTCTAGAGCTGAAATTTTTGTTTGTAACTGACGAACTTCAGAAAACCCTTGAGTATGTACTGCTGCACTCTCTACATCTACCGTGACGGCGACGAGCAGAAGAAGTTTGCTCGTTTTCCATAACTTAAACTAATAGTCAAAAACCTTGTTGAGGGTTTGTTGGAATCGACTAAATAAAGTCATATTGATATTGTATGACAAACTTTTGGCCACCAAAAAATGAAGTTTGCGTGAAGTAATTTAGATTAGCCACTATAATAAGCAATCCTTTATATATATCAGTGCTTGTTTTATTCATACGTGTAAAAGAGTTGCTGCAGCTGCTGAGATAAACAAAGTAATATGGAGGAAAAGAAATACGTAGTTGAGGTTGAGAAAGCTAAAGAAGGAAGAGATGGTTACATGAATGTTAAGTTCATGTAACCATCTCTTAAAAAGTGGTTACATGAGAAGGAGGAGGAGAAATGAGGCTGGAGTTATTTAAAAAGTGGGTACAAGTTAAAACTTTTTAAAAAAATAGGTATAGGTTAAATAAGGACGATCAAATAGCGTGCCCCGTGCAATTTTTACGGCAATGAACGACTAGTATATATATATATATACTTGAATTTAGAGGGTAAAATTCGATATTATAATTAGGCACTCTTGAAATAGTACAAAAAAGAAATTCTTTTACACTATCAATGTAGTTTAACCCATGATAATAAGTTAATTAATATTTTTATTAACTTTTCAATTAACATTTATTAAGAGATTATAATAAATAAAGTTATAGACTAGATAAGTAAAAAAAGGGTAGCCCGGTGCACTAAGCTCGTCTGGGGAAGAGCCGGATCACAAGGATCTATCGTACGCAGCCTTACCTTGCATTTCTGCAAGTGACTGTTTTCACGGCTCGAACTCGTGCCTTCCTGATCACATAGCAACAACTTTACCAGTTATGCCAATGCTCCCATTCATAGACTAGATAAGTAAAAATGAAAAAGAGATGTTTTGATTTCATTGAAATTAAAAGCTTTTTTTTTTCACATTCATATGATTTACTATTTATCTATAATTAAATTTATAAATTATTTTATTGTATAAAATGTTTTTTATATTATTAGTGCATAAAAATTAAACTCACGATGCATCGTAACTCGTTCAGTTTGCTATTCGTGGTTGTCGAGTGATGACCTCATAAAACCAAGCAAGAGGAGCAAGCAGTGGAAAGGAACAAATTGCTTGAAGTAAAGATTCACTGATTATTTCTTTTATTTTTGCAAAACTTATGGCAAAGGACTCCTCACTTTGAATTTCGTTACAAGCCAAGGGGGAATAATCAGAAATTCAAACAATATAAGATACTCTTAGCAATAATAATAAATTATGTAATGTAAGAAAAACACAAAAAATTGAAGAAACAAATTGGATTAACACTTAGGAAGATCAGCAGGTGGAGGAGGAAGCTTCTGTTTGCGGCCTTTTCCATCCTTTACAATCCAAGCCATTTTCAATCCCCAGCTCGTGTGAACTTCAAGGTGACAATGCATGAACCACGTTCCTATATATAAAACATTCAAATTTCACATAAAAGAGTTAATCAATTTTTTCTTGCTCTTATTTTAAAATTTTCATGTGTAGAGGACCAAAATTCTAGTTGGTTCGTGAAAAATGAGTTTAGCTTTTATATATAGAGGATACAACATAATTTTTATAAAATCAAACCACCTAAAAGAAAACTAAAACAGCTATGGATAATAGCGAAAACTAGTTATCAAAAAAATAAGGCAGATAATTCCTACATAAAATTTTATTGATAGTGTAACCATTTTTTTTTATACTGCAAATGGAAAGAGTTTTTTATTCAATTGGTGAAATTAATTAACTTGCAATAATATGTTAGTTATTATTTTTATCAGATTATTAATTATTCCTTATTAAAAAATTTACTTGCAACAGCCTTATAATTAACCTAATTATGTAAGTATATTGCATCATCTTTAAAGTCGATTTAAATATAAAAATTACCTGGATTGTCTGCAAGGAAGCGAATGGCGACCCAGCCACCAGCTGGCACACCAACAGTGTTCCTTTCAGCAGGGTCAACAAGGTTGAAGTTTGCTGGATCTTGACTAGGATTATAGTTTCCAAATCCTTGACCAACCACAAAAAAGTTGAACCCATGAAGATGAAGAGGATGGCTTTCAGCACCAAGAATACTAGTGTCTTGTAAAACCAATTCCACTCTAGTATTATAAGGAAGCACTACAACTTTTGTGCCACTT